ATTTCAGTTAATAAGAGGATTTTATTTCAGATTATTATCTGTATTAAAATATCCGAGAACCTTTTTATAAAAAGCCTTAGTCTTTTCTAATATATCTTTAATCCGAATTCCGTTAATTTCTAGTAATAGTACCTTAAAATTAGAGGTAAGCTTATACTAGTTAATAATTTTATATAAGTCTGAGTTGCTTTTTATATTATTAATTCTCTATCTCTAGTATTCTCTCTTAGCCTTATATATTAAGTTCTTGAATTTATATATTTCGGGCAGATTATTTCTTTTAAATATAAAATTCTATATTACTAGATATAAATAGTATATCTTCTAGTATTTAGTAATCTATTAAAAGACTAAGTATTTTTTAGTTATAATTCGGTTTTCTGGCTATTTTTATTAAGAAAGTAAAGATTTTAGTAAGTGCTTTTATATAGCTATTAATATATATCTTATCTGGTAGGGTTTATAGATCTAAAAGCCTTATTATACTATTTTTAATAAGCCTAGTAAATTTGGAGAGCTTAGATTCTAGTATCTAATATTAATTTTATTTAAAGGAAACTGAGTCTTATTTCGGAATAATAGTAATCTGAGTCTTATAGTTTAATCTGCTATATATATTACTATAAATAGAGATATAAATAAATAGAATATTAGAAAAAGTTAAATCTAGTATATATTTGAATTATTAAATGAATTTACCTGATTTTCTAATAAAGTTTATACTACTAGTAGTTACTTAGCTAATAAGTTTCTTAGATTAATAGTTAGGTTTAACTTCCGGTTCGAATATATTATACTATATATTAAAATTGCCTCTAATTAGATAGTTAGATAATAGTATAAAATATAATATATAAGTAATAACTTCCGGTTTTATTAGTTATTAATAGTAATTAAAAATAATAAAGCTATTTATATCTGTCTAGAGAAAGTTATAGTTATAAATCGGATAATATTATTATATTTTAATATTATTTTCTCTATAAATATAGGTTATAACTCTAGGCCTTTTAGTCTTAATAAGTTCGGGATTTTTATTATTCTATAAATTAACTAAAATATAATAGTTAAATTCTAGATAGTTTTAGATCTTAATATCTGAATAGATCTATAGTTTTTAAATATAGATAATATCTATATTCTTTATATATATAGTTTAGAGAAGTATAATATAGTAAAAGAAACTTTTAGCTATATTTATCTAGTAGACTTATAGGTTCCGGTTTCTGGGCTATTAATTATAGTATTTATTATAAAGCTTTAACTGGCTTTCTAATATTTAGTATCTTTATTATTAATATCTATATTTATAGTTCTTTTAAAGCTTTTAGCTAAGAGAGTAAAGTTATTAAGGTTCTTACTTAAGGTAGTAAAGTATTTTAGATAGCTTAATAGTAGAGCAGAAAAGGGCAGAAAGAGAATAGTAGTAGCTTATAAGGATCTTTTCTTATAGGCTATTATTACTATATCTTTTTATTTCTTTAATTTAATAATATTAGTTTTCTAGTCTTATATCTGAAACTAAAGTTACTAAAATATAATAGCTTTTATAGAAAATAGTAGTATATAGAATAGCTAGAACTCTTTATTACTATAGTAATAGATTATATTTAGCTTTTTCTTAGTAAATTTAATAACTTTACTATTCTTTTAGTATAATATAGCTAGATAATAATTATATCTAGTAGAAAAGAGTTTATAGTAGTTAGTATAGCAGGTATTTCCTATATAGTTTACTCTAGAGAAGCTAATATATTTATTAATTCGAATATTATATATATTATAATATATATATCTTATATATTTTATAGGGTTATAGAAGCCTTAATAGCCCGAATTATAGTATAAAATAGCTATTTTCTTCTCGATTATTTTTGAGAGCTTACTAGTATTAAAGAATCTAAAGGCTCTACTAATAGAGGCTAGAAAGAAGATAATTCAAGTAATTTTACCGGATTAAAGGTCCGGTCTATATCGGGAAAATTAGTAACTAATAGGCCTAATAGTAGTCTATATAAAGACTTCTTTTTTAATAACTAGAATAGTATAAATTAATATACTACTAAGTTCAGAAATAGAGTAGAAACTAGATAGAATTTCCGAAATAGTATAGTTATATCAAGTTTCGGGGTATTTAATTTCTTTTCTATAGAAGATTTATAAAAAAACTTTACTATTTTCTTAAAAGCTAAAAAGGTTCCGGATAGTAAAGTCTACTAAAGTAATAGCCTAGCCAGTTCGGATTAGTATAATTAGTAGAACTAAAGCTAGAATAATACTAGTAATCTTAGCTATAAGTTTCTAGTAAAGTATAAAAGGCTTTAGCCTATTAAGAAAAGCCTATAGCTCTACCAAAATAAGAAGATATTAATCTTCTTTCTTTAGATATCTATTATCTCTAGAGCCTCTATTAGCTAAGTTTAAATAGAAGAAAATAAGAAATACTTCTCCGGAAATTAATATAGGCCTGTTTCCCGAAGAGGAAATACTAGCCGATTTTGGGGTCTAATAATCTGCCTCTAAGTTTTTCAGGATCTTTACTATATTTATAAAGGAAACGGACTTGGCTAAGCCGGAGGATAGTATACCAGAATCTAGTAGGCTCTTAATATAGAGAGGAATAAAGATATTTGTTTTAGTAAAGAGAGAGCTAGTAAGGAAGTAGATAACTTTATTATATATATCTTATATAGCTTTACGCTTTTCTGGTCTATTATATATAGTAATAAAGGTATCTACTATAATAGCAAAGTTGTTTATTATAATATATTAGATACAGGCTTTATATTCGAGAGCTTTTAGCTAGCCAGAGATGGCCTTGGGAGTAGTAGTATAGATGCGAGTACCACTACCTAATTCGAGACAGGGAGAAGGATTTATATTCAGGTCCTTTTGTCTCTTTATAGTACGGTTGAGGTTAGAAAGTAATTAAGGTTCTTGCGGGCATGTAAAATCCGCAGTTTGGCTTCCGGAATAGGAGGAATTCGAGTTTTTAGGGGTGAGAGACACTATTATTACCTATAATAGTGTATAAAGCACTGGGAAAGATAAAATAAAATCTAATATATTAATTGGGATGGTTTTTATATGCCCTTAGGGCTTGTAACAAAAGTTGTCGAGCAAACAGTGAGTTTGGGAAAAATGTTGTAGGTGTATGTAGGAGGGGTGAAGCTGCGGAAGGAGTAAAAGCACGGCGCGGTACGGGCCGGTAGGCGGTATGGCCCCCGGCGCGGCGTGCGACAGATACCGAAGCGAGACCCAAAGTGGCCCGTGCGCGCCCCCCAAACCCCTCGACGACGACGATGACCCCGTCCGGCACCTTGCTCGCCTTCGACCGGTTCCTAGAAGGTCTAGAAGAGCCGCTCTCTCTCTTGTCCCCTATCAACTTCTCGCACGAATTAGCCTCCTCTTACGCGCCCTGTTCGCTCTTGATACTCAAACCCTCCGAAAAAGGGTGTCAGGAATCATCATGTGACCAGCCACGCTAGGCTCTGTGTTGAAATTAGGGGCCTGAGGCCCCTAATAGGCTTAGTAAGCCCTGGAACCGAACGCCATGGGGCTGTGCACTAGCTTAATACCCTGTACAGCTGGAATACCCTGTACAGCTGGAATACCCTGTATAGCTGGAATACCCTGTACGGCTGGGATACCCTGTATAGCTGGAATACCCTGTATGGCTGGAATACCCTGTATGGCTGGAATGCCCTGTATAGCTGGAATGCCCTGTATAGCTGGAATCGGTTCAGCTGGCATAGGGGTTTAGTGCATGTGATTTAGGGGGTTCAGGGCTATATATACGGGCTACTTACCACTATAGAACAGCAGTCAATTCAGTACGTTTTACTTGGTTTACATTGCAAGCACGTGACCCTAGCTTCTTTACTTAGCTAGTTCAACACTCTGCAGCACATATTTATGTCTGCAGCTCTTCGGTGAAGCTCCATTATGCTCGCAACTCCGGGAAGGCAAACGAGTGCGCGCACGGACCTTGAATTTGGAAGCTGAGAGACCTGATGCCCCGCGATTTTTGACAAGCCAACGAGATGGACATCAGGAGCGGCTGCTAATGAGCTGCACGAGGAAAATGCAAGCAAGGCTATATGCAGACGCAGATAGAAGTCAGACTATAGGTAGTAATCTTAGACATAGGAATTGTTCGAAAACATGTTACGTCTGCAGTCCTACGGTGGACGGCTGGAACCGAGTATGAATAAATCAATCAATCAATGTCCATAGTGGATCAATGGATTAACTCTTCAACAAATCATCGATTGACATATGTGCCTTGCATCCACAATCAAACCACCAATAATAGCCTGCGCTCCAACACTGTGTAACATGTCTTGCAAAGGCGAATTGCTGCCTAACATGCCCAATTTACGTTTCAACAAACATATTTGATTATGAACCTGCACTGCTAACAAACCTCACCCTGAAGATCGGGAATCCTGCTTGCCCGGAACCGTGCCAACTCGTCACCCTCATCGATTGAGGCTGCACGCAGAACATTGATCTCCCCTGCTTCCTATTTTGCATCCTCCGCTTCGTGTCTTCTCCAGATACCAGCTCTACTGGCTGGTCTCCTGCTGCGACTGTATTACTCTAAAGCCGCCGGCCCAGGGCATGGGAAGGTTTTATCGCCAAGTTATGGCTTGCGAACATGACGTTAGGATTCTCTAACGACCTCACAGGATCATTTATGATAATACAGGATTGAATAATCGGTCTTTCGCATTGACAGCCCCGGCTAGCGTCTCGCCTGTTACAGTATCTGCAGTACGCTACTTTGAGATAGGAAGAGAACAAACCTCCCAGGCTCAAGAAGACGGACCTCATACTCATAGTTCCGAACACCCATACTGAGGTATTCCTGAGTGAATCTCTCTAGTACATGCAACATTACAATTCTTCAAGAGGTTTATCCAGAATTTTGTCGTCGACTATATCGTCTCTGGCATTACAATACTCCAATTTCCAAGTGATTGGTACAGAACTTTATCATGGAGACATTGGCCATTTCGGAGATTCCGTTTACCAGTGGTGACCACTTATGTGTTCACTGTAAGTCTTGCATCAATAACATTCCAAGAATAGGACGTAGTATGGGCTTCATACCTAAAGAGGGGCAGATGAGTATTTCTTCCGTGCCAGAAAACGAACAGGAGGCCAATATGCCCCATTGGCCCACCTTCGATGAGTTCTTAAATTCAGCATCGGAAAACTGCCATCTTTGCGCTTTATTCCTTCTTCAGCTTTGCCCTAGAGATCGTCTTCGGATATCAAACTGGGAGAGGGATGGTGCTGCAAAGGCATTTCCGGCTATAACCCGGATTACGATAATACACAGTACATACGAGGAAACTGGATTATATGAAATATGGCTTAGGTACCCCATGCCGTCAGATGTATTGCTGTCACGACGCCAAAAGCGCAATGAGATGAAGGTGCATTTGAGACATGCTACGGGTTAGCCCCTTCGAGACACATCCATATCTATGCTCACACTACTTAGTTGATATATGCGGCAATTTGCCCTCCCCTTTAAGCTCGTTCTCACTCTCTGCCTGGGAGGTTGCGCTTTCCTGGATCATCAATTGTGTGGTCAACCATAAGTCTTGCGGTCAGACAAATCTTCGCTCAGCACGAAAATTACCGTCTCGTCTAATCGCAGTCGGTGAAAAAGACGATTTCTCAGACATACGCTTATGTGAGACAATCGAGTTCGAAGTAGGCTGGCAGTATGTCACATTGAGTCACCGCTGGCCCCTTAATGGCTTCTCTTTCAAGCTTTCGGAGGAGACTTATAATGAATTCTTAAAAAATATACCCTGGAATCAAACGCCACAAACATTCAAAGATGCTATTATCGCCACAAGAAAGCTTCAAGCAAGCTTAGGTATTAGGTACCTGTGGATCGATACATTGTGTATCATTCAAGACTCCGAGGAAGATAAAAAGCGAGAACTCGGCATAATGGGTGATATTTACAGCTACTCGTTTCTTAATCTTGCCGCTTGTACCGATTCTGACTATGGGCTTTCCGCCAAGCGCGATAAGCTCTCTTCACATACTTGCATTATCAAGGTTGGACCTCAAAGTCAGCTGCCTCAAGGATACTACGCAGTCGAGAATATGGACGATCACCGGACAGAAGTAGTACAATCAGAATTGACAAGCCGTGGTTGGGTTCAGCAGGAGTTCTTACTAGCCCGCCGTCTGCTCATCTTCACGCCACAGCAGCTTTTTTGGGAGTGCGCATGTTTCTGCGCATCCGAGAAGCGCCCAGGAACTATGATCCCACCTACGCTCGCAAGATCCCGCTTGAAAGAGAAATCTTTCGACAACCCAGACCTTTGGATGCAACATCCAGGCTCTGAAGAGCGAGATTTCCAATTCTATCGACTTTGGATGAATATTGTCGGGGCCTATACTGCTTGCAATCTCACAAACCCAGAAGACAAACTGGTGGCTATTTCTGGCATGGCAAAACAAATGAAAAGAGGAATTGAGGAACGAGATAGCTATCTCTGCGGATTATGGACTCGTCGCTTGGAGTTGCAATTGTTATGGCGGGTTCAAGAGGGGCATCGAAGGAAAAGGCAGGAGGATACGCAGAGGTTTAAATATATTGCACCTACATGGTCATGGGCTTCCGTAAACGGCCGAGTCTACAATCATCGGACGAATAGAGAGGCTTGGGAGAAGACGCAGCCTATGGTCAAGATCGAGATACTGGATAGACCTCATTACGAAAACAACTTTGGCCGCCTACGACCTCCCCCTTATGCGGCGTTGGCGATCACCGGTCTTCTGCTCAAAGTCCAAATGGAAGCAAGGCTGAAGCCAGAGCCAGGGTTTGTGCATAGATTTACTCATCTGACGTGGCACCGTCTTCAATTTACGGAAACCCCGGTTTACCTCGACCTAGATACGCCGGGAGACAACGTCATCGATGTGTACTGTCTTCCGATCGTGAAGGAGGAATATACTGCAGGGACACAACTTGTCTGTCTAATACTGAAGAGAGAGGGTTCCATCCCGGGTTTATATATGCGATGCGGACAACTCCCTTGGCTACGTCATTGGCAACATGAGTTCATTAGCGTTGCGAAATCGACAAAGCTCTCTGAAAGTGGGTACCATGCCGCTCACGAAGATGGCCAGGTCACGATACTCCTCGCATAAATTCGCATGCCGAAGTTGATCGCGACGTATGACATCGCTACGCTGCTGCTATAGCCGCTGCATATGCTAAAGTGCTCCTCTACGCCATTGGCGCAGAGCCTTCTGCCAATCCTCCGCGGCGGGGCGAGGGAGGTTAGTTATCTTTGGTTCCCTGGTTTGGCCGGCCATGACTTGTTCTCCTCACAACAAAGCCATCATCCTGCTTCAATCCTCAGTCGAGCAGGTGGTGTTTCGAGCAGCTCACCGCGGTGGCCGACATATTCTTATACGCAGACCCTTCTTTCGCTGTTCTGCGAAACCGGCAGGATAGCTCAGCCTCACCTACAAAGACCTAGAGCGAACGGCACGAGAGCTTGAATGCGCCTGATAGCCGAGCCATGGCTAAGCGCACGATATACACTCGAGCATACTCTAAAAGCAGTGCTGGGCAACTTGTCTCCGCTAAAGCGCTAAGAGGCGATCCATTATCCCCCACGGACCTCCTTGATGAGTTCAGAAAACACGCCGACAGATACAATCGAGAGCCTACGGCCTTAGTGTCAGTCAGCGATCGCATCGTCGACACGGTGAAGCGTGCTTTTGACAAGCGCTATGGGAATGGCGAGTCCCCAGCAGATACTTGGGTCGCTTTCATTGAGATCCCATCCATCATACATGAGAACCCTGGCCGAGTCCATGCTTCAAGACGCTTGGCAGAGGAATGCGAACTCCCGGAGCCAAACTTATTCAATCACGAGATGGTTTTTGAATGGGCTATACCCGAGAAGTATGTGCTCCATAAGATCTCCTTGCAGACCTTGATGGATCGTGGGCTTCAATGGGAACATCTTACTCCAAAGTGGCCTCGAGCTTCAACCTTTATCGACAAAAGAATTACGATGCTGTATCGCGAGGGACCTCCAGCGTACCAGGCCTTGAATTTGTTGTATTGGTGTATCCAAGCACACGAACACCGAACCCAAGCACCCACTTCCCTCCCCAACTAGCAACACTCCCGGCACAGAGGCATGTCACTCTCCTCCTGCTATGCTCCAAAGCTAACTCAAGTCAAGTTTCCACAGGCTGAGGAACGAGAACGAAAACGAAAACGAAAACGATCGCAAGAACCCGAAGGTCCATCCAGTCTCGCTCCATCCGTGCCCCTTCGAAAGCAACGGCGGACGTCTCTTGCAGATGCTGCTGCTAAAAGCACACATGACTAGAGGGCAACGAGCGGCATCAACGATAACCAGACCAATTCAATTGGGTATTGGAGCGAAGAGGGACGCTGGCCTAAGGAATACTTCAACCAAGACGATTAGACTAGGAAAGATTTCGAAAAATACAACGGGATACCCTGGGTAACAGAGATGGGGTTGAATCACCTACTTGCAAGGAAGAAGTCGTAAATGCTGCGCTTCTGCCCACGAATGCTGCTCTCCCATCATACTCTTCTCCCCTCTCCAACGCACACGTCCAAAACGCCTCCCTTAGCACCCTACTTCGCAAATCGCTATCGCAGGTTTGTTCTCATTTTTCGTCGGTTCCCCTCCACCTTTCTTACAGACGTCTAATTCCAATCTTCCGTAGCAAATCTGAATCGCCAACTACCACGTACGACGCGCTGCAACTTTGCCATCTGAGCCCATCCGCCGCGGACCGGGTACATTAATACCGACGATGTCAGCTGGCACAATGACTCGAGATAGCCCACCTCCTATGTTCACCCTCTTTCCGAAACTCCCTAAGGAACTCCAAATGAAGATCTGGAAGTGCGCTCTCCCAGGCCCTCGTATCATTCAACTACATTATCTGAATAGTGCCTTCTTCTTTCGTGGTGCTCGTCCTCCACTAGTACTTCACACATGCCGAACTTCTCGAGAAGTAGCTCTCACTGTTTTCGAGCGCGCTTTTGCTAGCAACGATAAGCCGATATGCATTGATTTCGCTCACGACACTCTCCATCTCGCTACCAGCCCTGGGATGTGCAAACATATGGCTGGCTTATACCCTGATATCAAGGAGAAGATCTAGTCTCTAGCAGTTGAAATTTCCTTGGAAGAAGATCTCGAGAAGTCAGCTATCGATATCAAGCTTTCACATCTCAGCAATCTTAGGGAAATCATCTTTGTCGTTGGACACGCAGAGAGGTTACTTGAGTTCAAGTATGCATTAAGCGTATGAGCATCCTGTTTAATCAGATTATGCAGCGACGCAAGACCCTCTGCTGACACTGGCGTCACAGGCGTTTGTGGTACTTCATCCTGATGACAAGAACCCACCTTTATCTCATCGGTCCTCGGAATAGTTAATTGAGCGGGGGGCTTTGGTGTCACCCTGAGGACTCTGTCTGGGTTAAACGGAAACAAACCACAGGCCGCCCATGCGGCCGTAATATTTCTCTTCGTGAAAGCCTTCTCCCTTGTAGGGCTATATAGAGAGGTGAAATGTTACTTGCCGACTGTATTTATACCTCCTTGGAATAGCCTGTCAGCCTCGTCGCGGTAGAAGCCCTTTAATAGGGCAAACACTCCGACGTTGCAGGGCTGGAGCTTGTGGGAGGTGTAAGAGGGGAGGCGATATAGCATGATGCTATTTGCGAAACAAAACTCTTGGGCTTCGAGGGTCTCCTATGCGGCGAAACCGTTACAGATCAGTACCCGCGGCTTCTGGTTAGCCTGTTCTCTAGTTTGGGGATTAAACATGCGCTTGAGCCACTCTAAGCTGATCTTGGAGTCGGTATACCCGGATTCGGAGCAGGTATAGTGCCATCCAGGGGTGGGGAATATGGTCCAGTTACTTCGATAGGTAGTAGCTGGCCAAATAATTATTAGTAATAAAGACCTACCATTAGCACTAATATATTTAATAGCAGTGACTATAGTATGCTTAATGCCTGCACCTCTATAGTCTCGCGGATCGTCCTTACTTAAAAGAACCTTAATAAAGCCAAGTATATATAATATAACTCCTGTCTTGTCCATATTATAGACGTTCTCTGGAAGGATAACCGGATCTTCTAATACCTTTCCGATTACCTTAAACTAATATATTATTTTCTTATAGATATTATTCTCGTAGCATTTCCAGGCCATTGCCCTTACTCGTTATAATTTGAGTATTAGATAACGCTTCTGGAAGGCTTGAGCCCAGTTCTTATTCGGAGGCTTAGCCGCTTTCTGTATCTTGGAGCGCTAGCGGGCAATACTAAAGGTAAGAGATAGTAGGCACTTAATTCGTATAGGATTTCCGAGATTAGCTATTAGTTTCAAATACTTTTCGAGGGCTATTTCCTCCGGTAAAGTAAGATACTATTAGCTTTAGGCCTTCTCTTCTTTTGAATACCGCCTATAATAATAATAATAAAGGGTAGTTAGAGAAACTCTACTATATTTTAATATAGTATTATATATTCGAGGCTTTTCCAATAGAGAGGCCTCTATTAGTACTTTACTAGTATAGTCGATTATAAGGCATTGCCTCTGTACCTTATATGGAAATGGGAATGGAATTAGAACTAAGTAGCGAATTAGTATAATAAAGTAGTAATACGGTATAGAATTAGATATCTGGCTTATAGAACCTTCTAGAAAAACACTATATTATACTACGTTTCACGTGATATATAAACGAATTTAGGATAAAATACGACTTATATAGCTATAAATATAATATTAGGTAAGGGTAATAAATCCTTTCTTATTTATTAAGATATAGTATTTTATATATCTCTTACTTTTATCCGGATAAATCCGGTAGGCAGATTTCCTTATACTTTATATATTTAAACTTTGAAGCTATATTTAAATATAATAGAAGCTTTATATTACGGCCCCGAATTCCGAAAATAGGTTAATAGTTATAATAAAATAGGGAGTAATAGCTAGAATATCTCTTAATACTTTTAATAAAATAATTAGTAATAGAACTAAAATAAAGTATTTTTTTTAATTATAAGTCGAGCCCTTATAGAAAAATAGCTAAATAATAATAGTATATAGATTATAACTTTATATATTTATATAATAGAGATTTGAGACTTCTAAACTATAAAAAAAATTTAGTATATAGAAATAAATATTATATATTTTTAGTTCTTCTAATAAAAAGTATTAATATTTGCAAAGTATTACTTATATAAATTAGTAATAAGTATAAAGTTATTATAACTTCTATTAGATTAAATATAAAATTATTCTCTTAAAAGCTATTTATAAAATCTATATTTATAATTAGTTATAAGGTTATTATATAAATCCGAATAGCTAGTTCTGAACTATTAACTTATATTATATATTTTAGTAATTTAGGTAATATTATTATATTTAATACTATTTTAAAGTAGCTCTTATTTCCGGAGCTTTTATTTAAATAGAAAATTTAAGGAAATCGCGGTTTTCTAATTAAGAATTATTATATTATTTATTTTATAATTATATATTATTTTAATTTTAATTTTTTAAGAAATTCTCTTTTACTTTAAAGTATTAGATAATTAACTACAAATTCCAATTTATATAAACCGAGATATTAAGTATAATAAAGTCCGAAATTGGCTTTAGTTTCGAATATTCTAACTTATTACTTTTATTTAAATACGGTATTATAATAGATATAGCTTTCTTAAAAGAGATTATAAAAATATAAAGTAAAAACTAGCTATTTAATAAAAGAGAATATAAAAATATAATATAGAAACTAGCTTCTTAGAAAAAGATATAATAGTAAATATAGCTTCCTTAAAAAAGAATATAAAGATATAATATAAGAATTAGTTATTTAATAAAAGAGGTATAATAGTAGAATTAGCTTAAAAGAATATAAAAGATATAGTATAAGAAACGGCTTTTTAGAAAAAAGATATAATAGTAAATATAGCTTTTCGGAAAAGAATCTAAAGATATAATATAAAAGCTAGGTATTTTAAAGAAAGATATAGTAGTAAATATAGCTTTCCAGAAAAGAATATAAAGATATAGTATAAAACTTAGCTATTTAATAAAAGAGATATAATAATAGAATTAATAGCCTAGAAGAATATAAAAGATATAATAGAAGAAATAGTTTTTTAAAAAAAGATATAATAGTAAATATAGCTTTTCTAGAAAAAAATATAAAAGTATAAAGTAAAAACTAGTTATTTAATAAAAGAGATATAGTAGTAAATATAGCTTTTTAAAAAAGAATTCAAAAGTATAATATAAGAAATAGCTTCTTAGAAAAAAGATATAATAGCTAATATAGCTTTTCTAGAAAAGAATATAAAAGTATAATATAAAAACTTACTATTTTAATTTTAACTATTATTACCGGGATTTTACTAATAAATAATATAATAATAAAATATTATATTACTTTTTATAGCCCTTTTTTAGTATTTCTAAAATTATATTATAAGCTTAAAAATATTATATCTTCTATTTCTTTTTTACTTATATTATATAAGTAATATATCTGTTTTATAAAAGTATTTCGAATAATAACTTTTATTTCTAGCTATAATAATTATAAATTCTTTATATTAAATAAAATAATTATAAATAAGATAATAATTTAAAATAAAGAATAAGAAAATAGTAAAAGAAAGAAATATATAATAATAAAAAAGAAAAGAGAAACTTTTTTATAAAGCCTATAAAATAGTAAAGTTCTATAATTATTAAATTACTATTACTTTTTATAATTCTAATTTAGGAAAATATTATATATTTAAATTAGTAAACTTACTATTATAGCTATTATTTTTTAAATAAATTATAGATTACTAAATATTATTATATATATTAAAATATAGCTAATTTAATAGTAAATAAAAAATAATAAGATCCTATAGTTTAGGCTTTCTAATTACTATAAATAGCAGAATATCTAATATAAAATCTTATTAAAAGAAAATAATAAGGGCTTAATAACTAATTTGGCTATTTATATTAATATATTTCCTTTATTAATATTACCTATATTCTATAAACCTCTATTAATATCTAGAAATAAATCGGCAAATAATATTAGAGAAATAATATAAAAGTTATATTTTCTATTTATTATATCTATATTATATAGCCTCTTTAGCCTATTTTATTAATAAATTTAAATATAGAAAAAAAGAATAATATTATTTAAAAATTGGATTTAAAATAGATATTTATTAAAAGAAAAATATTTATTAAGGCTTCTCTATATTAATAGCCTTCTAATACTATTTTGAAATTATAAAAGAAATAAAATAGTATTTATTTAAATATATAAAAAAGAAAGTTTATAATAAATAGTATTTTATATTATATTTTATAAATAGATTATATAAAAATATATTTATATAATAAAAATAAT